ACACCCCCCCAGACACAAATAAGAAGGCTGAGGCACCAAGAGATAATGGGTCAGCAATACAGGAAATAGGACAAAAGTCTCTAGAATCCCATATTGCCACTCACTGAATCAAGCTGCCTCTCAGTGAAGAAACAAAAAGGTAAGAGGATTTTGGCAGCAACAAACAACTGGAAAATTTAGAAATAAAATAATCTGTTTATCATAAAAGTTATACTGTGTCTCTATACTTTTCCCTCAGCCAGAGGGAATACAACCCAAGGCTGTAGTCTATGTTCTTACTTTTGACGAGAGGTTCACTGAAGCTCCAGTAATTAAAATTAAAGGAAGCTTTGATCCCAAAGGGTCCTAAACACTGGCAACTCTAATTATATTCAGGAAGAACTTAAAAGTACTAAGCAAAAACTCCTGTGAAAAAGCTGCAAAAGATCTCACAGACTAAAAAGAAAGAAAGAAGCAGTTTTCTTACTTTCAATACATACTTAATACACACACACAGAAATTAAACACACAATTTTAAAACATCATAAAAATATCAAGTGTATTAAAAATTTAAACTTGAAGAATGTCATCTGAACTTGAAGAATTTCAGAGGGAAGTATTTATTTTGATAGATCCCCAAACTTGCAAAACACAGGGGAGAGAATTATTAAAGTGGGTCGAAGTCCAAAGAAGACAAGTTAAAAAGTTTTACATTTACTTTAAAGCAAATATGTTAATACTCTTTTTAAAGTAAAATAAAACAGTGTAGCTGTTATAAAGCACTACAACACTAAGCCAATGTGCATGCATAATGGAAGAAGTTGTGTTTAGAAAAATCCATTTACATTTCAAACTGCCAAGGGGTAGATCTGAACAGAAGCAAGAAAATTGAGAAGTTATGAAACAAAACAATTTTCATAACACCTTTTTCAGAACTAAAGCAAAAGCAAATGCAGAAGAAAATAAATTCAAACACTGTACTGTACCCTTTTAAAAAAATGAATCACACCAACCCCAATTGATTGTAGTGATATTTATTAAAGCTTGCTCATTCTACTTGTACAAATAATTCCCCTGAAAGGAACAACTTGCATAAACAACATGAGCAGGGCTTGGAATTCAATTTACTAGCCCTGCAATAACAGAAAAGCCATTTTCACGGAAAATAGAGCACATAGCACAGAGCACATGGCCATCTCTGAGGTTACCAAACAAACCTCTCCTTTTTGCAAACTCTCTCTCAAAACACTGCTTCAAACAAACACCTAGCTGCAAAACTTTAAAATGCGCAAACAACGTATTGTATAATCTACCTTTGTAAAGAAACAAACTTACTCTTCCGCTGCCAGCTTTTAAAGAATGAGAACATCCCCTAAAGACCCTTTGCTGCAAACTACAGTTCCCAGAATTCACAGCTGCTTTCTTAACCCTTCCTTGGAAGGAAAAGGAAATAATAGGATAGTAAGCAGAAGTGCTATAAAATCGAGGGCAGGAGAAACAGAAAGCATATAATGAATGCACAGAAAATATGTATCACTGATCCTAACTGGGTTTTGAAATAATATATTTACATGATTTGGTTGTGTTAGGGTGATGCTATAGTCTTGATGGTCCAGGAAATAAAGTGACAGACAAGGATTTTTGTGAGCAGTATCTTTCATTGGATCAACTGGATGGGTGGGATAGATTTAGAGAAGCTTTTGGATGTAATGCATTCCTTTTTAGACCTGCGCTTGGTCCAGTAAAATAAATCACCCACAAAAATCCTTGCCTCTTAGATACTTATGCTGATCAGGTTGCAATACCAGAATTGCAGTTAAACAGCCTCTTATATTTACTCTCCCAAAGCAGAAAAATAAAACCCCATTACTTGGCACATCTAAATCTGGATAGGTCAAACACAGAAAAAAGTACAAGATAAGCACCATACACTGAGGAATAACAAATTATAGCTAACAGATCTCCAGACTGATGCAGTGAGTGTCTATGAACAATAGCATCACTTTATAATACGAAATTAACAGATCAATGGGTTAATTGGACTACAACTATTTGCTATCCTAGGAGGCAAAATATTCCTATAAATGTTACAATGGTTTACCAAGGGTGGGATACTGGAAAAGGTAATGTGATTTAACACACAAAGGTGTTGCTCATATTGACTGTTTTAATTTAATCTGGATCTTCACTTTGCTTTCCAAGAGATAATTTAGCTGAGAGAGACTCACTGTTTCTTTTGGTAGTGTTGGGATTACATAATGGTGCAGGAAAAATGTGAGGCAAGGACTGTTGTGGGTGATATCTTTTATTGGACCAACTAGATAGTTGGAAGGGCCATAGATGAGTTTTCAGGTTCCACTGTACCCTACATCAGATCTGAGAAAAAAAGCAGATTGAACAATTCCCTGTGCAAAACTATGTAAATGTAAGTAGGAGACATACTATCAGGTAATTCTGTTGATTTTTTTCAGTTCGACTCCCTGCTGGGAGTACATCATTTCTATAAATTCAGGTAATGCTTATGTTTAATACAAAAAAAATGGAATTAATTAGATCCCTATGATTATTTTATTATCACATTATAATGTATTTTACAATTATGAATTTCAAAAGTAGAAGTATTTAAAAATACTTTATATATCTGTGGGTATCTCAAGAAATCTTTGGTCTTAAAAAAATTCCCTTGACTTGAAGAAGGGCATTCAATGCCCAAAACCTGGCCAACAGCTTTCCTAGCTAGGCAGGTAGCCTGATAAAATGTATCACTAAAAATCCTTGCCTCTTACATTTCCTGGACTATGACAGAGACAATAACACTTCAACCCTACACTAAAAAATAGTAATCCCACAAAGATTAATGCACTTGTGTAACTTCCCTTGAGTAAACAGTACTATTGCCCGTAGTCTAACTCTGCTGTTAGAAACATTAATCAAGAGTACAAATGTTGGCAATATTGGGCCTTTAACTTCACAAAGGTAGTTGATCAATGTAATTCACTACAGATTTATTCTGACTGGAAGAAAAATGCTGTTTATCTCTCAATTGAATTAACATAGTTAAAGCTAGTTTAACTCAAGTGAATTCCTCATTGCCCAATTAATCTAAAAGTGTTAAACTACTGCTAAATTGTTTACAAGGAGAGTGGAAGGGCAGTTTAGAATATTCCACACTGACAGTGTCTATGTAGGGAGTTGTGTGGAATTTATATATATCTATTTCTATATATATATTATGGATTTTTTCTGTACCGGTTTCTCCGTCAGCACAGCTAGTGGAGGCATGTGTCTCCGTGGATTTTAAGTAGGGTTCTCTATCGAGTTAAATTACATCAGTTGAGCTAACTCAACTCAAGGCCATGCTTTTGTTTGGGACAAGCAATCCTGAGTTTGACCCTTCACCATTTGTTGTGATATCTTTTATTGGATCAACATCCCAATTTTGGAACAACACTCCAACCCTGCTATCCATAATTAACATTGCTGCTGGTGGAAGCCCCTGGGATAGATGCAGTTCAACAGGGAAACCCTTACTTTCACCAGCACACAGCTTTGCTGATATAGCAAGTGTGCACTCACACAAGGAGGGTTCTGCCATTATAGTACATCCATATTTGTATATCGGTCAAATGCTCCTGGTGTAGTTATATAAGGTAAAGTCTTATTATAATGATGTTTGTACTTTTCAGACAAAGGTGTAGCAGATTTAAAACTTGATTAGAAAATGTTTACAATCATAGTTATGTACATGGCTTTGTAGTTACACCATTCTTTGTAGACTTTGGGCCCTGTCAAATATTGGTCAGAAGTAAGCTTGGTATGAAATGTATTCATTCTCATTTATCAGGGATGCTTTTACAAACCTGTGCCACGTAACCTGTAACTTCCCTCAAGTAAACAGCTCTACCAACTGCAGTTTGATTCCTGCTGTTAGAAAACATTGTTCAGGAGCATAAATGTTGGCACTGCTGGGCCCTTAAACTTCACAAGAATAATTGACTAATGTATTCACTGGAAAAAAAATTCTTCTCCCTAGTTGAATTAACTCAGCAGAGCTAGTTCAACTCAAGTGAACACCTTATTTATCACCCAGTTGATCTAAAGGTGTTTAACTCCCAAGCTGTCTACAAGGAGGGCGGGAGACTGAAAGGTTAGACCTGTGCTCCTTAGCTCAAGTGCACGGTGATGCAAAAGAGTACAAAACATGAATACAATCCCAGATGTTTTGATGCCGGTGCAGGTCTTGCCTGCAGCCCCATTGCTACCAAAGGCCCAGCATGCAAATGCCAAAGCACTAGGTGGAACCAAAAAGGCTACATTGGTGATTCCTGACCTTTTTAGGCTCATGGTTCCCCTAGACAGACTCATGGCTCCCTTGGAAAAGGCCAGCTCTTGGCTTCCCCTCTTTATCTGCTTACCTGGTACCAAAAAACAAGAGCTGTTTTTCAAGCATGGAGAACTCGGCAACCACTGCTCTGGATTCCTATGGGAAATCCCTAAGTTTATCACATGAATCACCCCTGGCATGCTGAACTGTGCTAACTGAGAGGGGGCTAAGAGGCTTACGAGTGGTTCTAGACTATTTTAGACTTGAGGGTCCCCTGGATAGACTCACGGATGCCCTTGGAAAATGCCAGCTCTTGAATTTCCCAATTTTTCTGCCTACCGAAAAACAACAGAGCTAGTTTTCAGGCACAGAGAACTCAAGGGGTGACCACGGCTATGGAATCCTATGGACTTAGCTCTAGTCTGATTTGTATTGGCAGGCCAAACACCCTGGGGCACCTCTGAAAGGATCTTTAGGCACCCCAGGGGATGGGTGCTGTGGCCCTCTGAGCTGATAACTGCTGGGTTTTACAGGAGCCTGTGGCTCTCCAGCTGTGGGAAGACATCTGCCAGGAGCTGTCACAGGGCCTGGCACCCCAATACCCCAGTGTGGCAGTGACAGGAAAACATCCCTTGCCCTACAGGTAGGCAAAGGAGGTCTGTGTGAGGGGGGCTGGGGTCTGTGCGTGTGACTGGGACGTATATGCATGCGTGTATGTGACCTGTGGGGGTCTGTGTGCAAGAGAAACTCTGGAGGGGGAGTCTGTGCATATGAGATCTCTGTGTGTGTGTGGGGGAGTACATGTATGCATGCGTATGACCCAGGAAGGGTGGGTCCGTGTGTGTGTGTGAGACTCCGGAGGGGGGAGTGTCTGTGTGTGTGGGGGTCAATGTATATGGGGGGGGAGGGGGCTGGAGGAGGCAAGTGTGCAAAACCCCAGGGGGTGTTGCATGTGTGTGAGACCTGGGGGAAGGTTTATGTATGTGTGCAAGGGACCTGGGGGGATCGATGTGTGTGTGGGAGGCCCTGGAGGGGAGAGTCTATGCGTGTGTGAGATCCAGGGAGGCATCCATGTGCATGTGTAAGGGGGAGTCCGTGTACGTGTGTGTCCCTGAGGGCAGCACCTTGTGCGGCAACGCCTGAGTGGGGGGGGACCCACTGCAGCGC